GCGCTCACCCGCCTGCTGGCGGGGCGGGGGGGGGGGGGAGGGGGTGTTGACCCTGGGAGATCCTAGGGTCAAAAAAACCCATGCGGAAAAAAAAAGCAGGATGGCACATGTGGTGGCAGCGTGCGCCACCCAAAACCGGAGCCTGGCCATCCAGAGCTGCACTCCAGCTGCCGGCCAGGCTCCCAGCTGCAGGAGCAATGGGGCTGCAGCTTTCTTGGCTCCCAGGACCCCAGGTGAGGCTGCTACACCCAGCACAGTTGCTGGCTCTAGCCTCCCCTACCCCACCTGGGATGACCTGCTGCACCAGAGTGCATGTGGCACAGGCGTTCCCCAGGGACAAGGAGCAGTGGCACAAGGTATGCCATAGCTACTTGTCCCTGGGGAACCAAACATCCGCGCTTGTCTGGACGTGGCCCTAGAGGGCAATTGTAAGACAGATGGGCAGTCTTGAGGAGCTTGTGGGGGACTCGGATCAGAGGTTGAGGCTGCACAAAAGGGTCAGTCCTAGTTGGTGAGCAGTATCCACGTCCACAGTCCAGGCAGTGCCAGAAGTTAGGAGCCTGGGAATCCAGAACGCACACACAATGTAAGTGGGACCAGGGAATGGGGCAAGAACCAGGCTTGGGGGGAAACAGGAGCAGCTGCTGCGGGTTGTGAAACAATGAGCAGCCAAAGTCCAAATAAAGGGCTTGGCCTTACAAGCCAGGCCCAGCTTACTCTGCAGCCAGTGAGCTTGACTCTGCAGCTGACGCCCCTCTGAAACGAGGTGGTCCTGTGGAGGTGGCAGATTCTCCTAACATCAGCCTCCATTGGGCAAGGTAACTTCTGGTCCCTTTCTCCAAGCTGAATGGTGGGAGCATGGCAGGAGGGATGCTCAGCCCCACGTTATTGCTGTGCTTTAGTGGCATTATGTCTGTTCTGTGATCTTGTCTCCTTTCACAGTAGCTCTTAATGGAAGAACACGGAGTGACCCAAACAGAACACATGGCCACTATCGAGGCCCATGCCGTGGCCCAGCAGGTGCAGCAGGTCCACGTGGCCACCTACACTGAGCACAGCATGCTGAGCGCAGACGAAGACTCGCCCTCTTCACCAGAGGATACTTCCTACGATGACTCGGACATTCTCAACTCCACTGCCGCCGATGAAGTCACTGCCCACTTGGCTGCTGCAGGTAAGGTTACCCCGGCACTCAGGAACATTTGCTTTGTGCCTCATCATTCACACTTAGGTCACAGTAGCTTTCCAGGTGGTAGTTTAATGTGGTGAGCTGCTGTCAGGACTGATGTGGGGGAGGGGTTTCCAGGACTTCTGGATCAAGTTAGGTTTCCGCTTGGTGTGCCACAGTGGTTTCCTCTCGGGGCCCTTGCAAGTGCTGCTGCATGGAGCAATGTCTCCGTGGTGTCCATGAGGTGACAACATTAGGGATAAAGCATTCATTTCTGAAGTATAATCCCCAGAGGCGTCTGCTGTACAAAAAGGTGAAAATAATGCACTGGTGCAGGCTGGGACTGACTGGCTGGGCAGCAGCTCTGCAGAAAAGGACCTGGGGGTGACAGGGGACAGTAAGCTGGATATGAGCCAACAGTGTGCCCTTGTTGCCAAGAAGGCTAATGGCATACTGGGCTGCATTGGTAGAAGCGTTGCCAGCAGATCAAGGGAACTGACTATTCCCCTTTATTTGGCACTGATGAAGCCACATCTGGAGTCCTGTGTTCAGTTTTGGGCCCCCCCACTACAGAAAGGATATGGACAAACTGGAGAGAGTTCAGCAGATGGAAGCAAAAATGGTTTGGGAGACATGGCATGTGAGGAGAGGCTGAGGGAACTGGGCTGATTTAGTTAGGAAAAGATAAGACTATGGGGGGATTTAATAGCAGCCTTCAGCTTTCTGCAGGGGGGGCGGGGTTGAAAGAGGATGGAGCTGAACTGTTCTCAGTGGGGGCAGATGACAGAACAAGGAGCAATGGGCTGGAGTTGCAGCAAGGGAAGTTGAGGTTGGATATTAGGAAAACTTTTCTCATCAGGAGGATAGCAAAGCACTGGAGCAGGTTACCCAGGGAGGTGGTGGAGTCTCCATCCCTGGATGTTTTTAAGACCTGGCTAGATAAAGCCCTGGCTTGGATGATGTAGTTGGGGCTGGCCCTACTTTGAGCAGGGGGTTGGACTAGATGTGACCTGAGCTCCCTTCCAACCCTCATTTTCTATGAATGCAAAAACGTCACAGGCAAATGGGTTTAATCACTGAATGGGAATAGCCTGACCTAGTAAATAGTACAAATAATCTGCTAACTGCCACACCATCCAGGCTGGAAAGGAAACTCACCCAGATATGGCTTGACCCAAAAGGATCCTTGAGCCCATTAGTGGAACCTTCCATGCAGGATGACAAG